TAAGACACTTCTAACTATCCCATTAGAATTAATGAGAGGTGATTAAGTCATTGACTTTGCCTAAAAATAGAAAAAATTATCAATTTTACCCTTAATTAAATGAAAGTTTTTCAAATGTACATTAAATCTCTCTCTTAATTAATAAGTTTAAATAAGGGTAATATTAAAAATGCAATAGTAACATGAGGTAATATTTTATTTACCCTAAATTTCAAAAAATCATAAGCTATAATGAGAATTGAGAAGCCCTCCAACTAATGCAAAAAAATTCACTTAAAAATTGATATCATTCAGCTCTTTGGGCTAACCCTAACGGTATTTAAATTTGTTAAGAAGCTGCTTAACGAAGATTTTTGCCACCACTGACCCAATAAAAACATTTCAAATTACAACCAACATATTCCAATAACGTTCAATGCAAGAAACGTCAAACCTTTCGGATCTCAAAATTCGGCACAAAATGGAATAGTTATTAGGGGAATGTCGTGCAAAGGCTCAAGAGGGTTGCAAACAATAGCCAAGTTGTTAGGAAGAGTAGCAAAAGGGATGGTGGCTTGAGAGGTTGTTCAGGATTAAAATGGGAAGCCATTGTCAGAGAAGATGAAGGGAAAGAGTATAAAAAGACAGAATGATAGAAACTTTAAGGGCAAGGAAAGAGTAAGGAGTACGAAAGAGCAGAAGAAATGACAATGGCAGAAAGGAAAAGTTTACAACCTTAAAGGCACAAAGAAACAAAATGCCAGAGCTTGAATCTTCTTAAACATGCCACGTGGCCAACGACCAATAGCCACTCACACATAGGGGGCATAATTTAGGCATAAAAAGAAGCGTGAAGTTAACAACACTAAAAATAACAAAGAAAAAGGAATAAGAAACATGAGGCCTAATATTCAACTAAAAGCAAGGCCTGATCTACTCACAAAAAAGGCTCCGTGTTGATAACGTGATGAAGCAAGGGGTGGAGCCCTAAGACTTAGAATGACTGAACGTGGAAGATCATTAAGGAGATATGAGATCATTGTTTGACATGGCATAAATCTTGCCGAATTGTGCCTAGTGATAGCGAATATTTTGCATACATGCTTTTAATTCTCTAGGCATAATAGTTTCAAACATATGAGTATAAAAGGAGTTCAATTGATGAAATTAAGAAAAGACAATCTACATGCATAGCAAATTCATTACTTATTTAAATTAAATTTACTTTGCATTTAGGCTTAGAGACTTTGTTATTTCAATTTCACAGTTGTAATCTTTGCAATATATTTCAATTTTAACAATCAAATTACTTTTTCGTCTTTGCATTTGGGTAATTTGAAGTAAGGGAGCCCGAAGACTCTTTTATCATATTTGAAACTTCATGTCTCTCGCACACTTGGTACTTATATTATTCAAATACAACAAATGGCTACTTTTGTGAATAATTTGTTCTTTAATTTACCCAACCCAATTTTGTATTCCAGCGTGCAATTTGTAAGGGGTTCCCCTGCTCCTGAGTTTTGACCTTCAGCTTTACGTTGAAATATTGACCCCCAATTTCAAAACCTACTTTTTAGATTCTAGATGATCGGTGAACTCCGGAGAGCTGCAACGATAGTAATAATTAACACATATTTGGTTGCTCATGATACACTAGAAACACCCCCCCCCCGGGGAAAAGAAGAAGAAATGAAGTCAAATAAATAGGATCCAACGTGGAAAGTCACATAATCTTAGAACGATTCTCCGTTATTCTTCGCTCGTCTTAGAAAATCCCAAGTGCATAATTAATAAAAAGCTGAAGGGTTTTAATAATGTTATAGCAATATCAGCTCGGGGCGGTGAGTGCAGGCTCGTAATGAATTGAAAAGGATGGCCCCCCTTTAATTTCAATAAAATAAAACCTTTGACATCATTAACCAAGCAGGATATTTTTATGAGAAGTTTCGCCAGTGGAAGATATTTTAACGGCAAGTGTTCAAATATTGTTGAATATTTCACGTTGCAGATAAAAGAAGGAGCGGAGGTATGGTTCCGTATCCTAGCCTGGTAAATGAGGATGGTAGGGATATTTTTATTGAAATTAGAGAGAAATTAAGAGGAATGTGTGTTGGGGTGAACAGCGTAGTTGTTTGCGGTGTTGGGCATGCATCATAGACATGGTGTTGGAGATAGAAGAACAACAGGCGATGATATCAAGTTATCAACGTGATAGGAGAAAGCAAAGCACAGGGGACGAAAGATAGATGGATGAGACGAATGTACGACGTAATATTAAAGCGGGAGAAGATTTCTCCGAGATGATTTAGATTTAATTAAGATTCCATGTCTGGTGCCATAATTTCCGTTGGCTTCTGATTCGTGGGATGTGAAGACTAAAGCGAGACGGACCAACCACCTAGCCTCGCAAAATTAGGTCCAACCTTAATTTGGACTGCTGCTGGTCATAATAATGAAATCCACTCCGAATCTCCTCCCCCCCAACCTTCCCACATTAAAAAGTACAAGTGGTTTTAGACATCATAGAGAGTATGGTCCATGTAACTGTCAGTTAAGGTAAGCCTGAACCTTAATGCCTTATTAAATCTGATTATATTTTAAAATTTTATTTTGATCACTTTGATTTCGGCTTTCAAGGTCTCAGCCATATTTTTATTTTTATTTTTTAATTTAAAAATTTAAAAGATATTTTAAATTATAAAAAATTATTACACATAATATTAAGTTTAGAAAAATAAATTTAAGATAATCCACACAACAACGAATCTAAATTTAAGAAAAAATAGCAACACAAAATCCATGTCAATAATAATTAAACTTTACTAATATTATTGTTACCAATATTAATATAATTTGATCCTTCTCTTTGAATTGAAATTTGGAAGATGGATTGAAAGGAGAATGAATGATAACGCACTTGATGGCTAAATAAAATAAAGCAAGGGTTTTAGACTTTTAGTGATATTTAATTTTTTTATATTAAAATTAATTAATACACACATACACAAGGACTTAAAAGGGCCACCCGTTTATTTTAGGGCTTAATTTTTCATTTTACACATTAAAGTAATAGCTTAACCCTAGATTTTTTTTATGTTTAAGAGGGCTCGGCCCTAATTTACAGGTCTAATGGTCCATGTGTCTTGTGATCTATAATGTATGTGTGGATTTGATTATACTAGTAGAATAATTTCAATAAAAACTCATTGACTGCACTTATTAAAATTTAAAGCTAATAAATTTTTGAAATTACATTCCAGTCAAGACAAACTAATTTGATATTAAATTTATAAGAGAAGTGACAAACTTGTCCCTTATTTAAATTAATATTAAAACTTTCCTACTTTACTAATTCATTATCATACTTTACTTATTAATTTGCTTATGAAATATTATTAATTATCCTGCTTAATTTGTTTTTATTTTATGTATTTAAATCATCTTAAGACAGCTTGTTGAATTCTTATACTATATGTTGTCTATTTACTCACACATTGTTTTTCATCGCCTTATTTCACTTATTCACTGCTTGAATTTCACTTAATTTTATTCAAGGGAAATGAATAAATGAAGCAAGGTAATTAATAATATTTTAAAAATAAATAGATAATTCAAGCAAAACAATTAACAAATGAAGTAAAATAGTTTTGATATTAATTTAAATAAAAAGTAATTTTATTATTTTTTATAAAATTTAATATTAAATTAGTATTCCTAAATTACTGTAAAATTTTAAAAATTTAAATAAGTACGATTAAATTTTTTTTATTGAATTTCTCTCTGTATTAGTTCACTCAGGTTTGGATCAGTGCATTATTAATTTCTTCTTTTATGGTAAAAAAATAAAGCGAAACAGTTAAATTGCCTTGCTCACGTCGAGATTTCAATTCCAGTACATGGTTAATGAATGAAATGGAATTATATGTATGATTAGGGTGGTTTCTAGCAGGCAGTACTTGTGAGACGGTGCTCTCTCTCTTTCGCGGATACAAGTAAGACTGTGTTAAAAGTGAACAGCGACCTATCCCAAAGCGTAGAATTGGGATAGTACATGTACAAATAGTAGAAGGGGAGGATTAGAAATACAGGCGGCAAGCAGAGCAAGCGCCAGGTCCAAATGTGGCGTCACGGGCTTCCAAGTTTGAAACCCCCGACGCGAGTTTTGAAACCAAAACCGTGTGGGGCCCATGCATGACTAAAACCCTGGGCTCGTGGACTTTTAGGGCGCTTCCCGGGTCCCACTTCCTGCGACATCCTTATCCTACTCGCGCACCCCCTCTCTCCTCCGTGCACGCCTCACTCACGGTCTGACACCTGCGGGTTTGGTAGGATCCCCGGAATCATAGATGATCAACATAGCGGAGCCACGTGGGACCCTTTGTCCCCAACACTACCTGATCCTGTAAACTGCTCTCCCCCTGACACCCATTTCCCGCCAACGCTCCTTATTTTTCGCTAGTTTTATATTTTTCTTCTCTTTGGTTATTCATAAATATAAATTATTTGTTTCTTTCGGCCAACCGAACTATTCATAAATTCGACAATGGGGCTTTCTGGCTCTCTCTCTCTCTCTATCTATATGTGTGTGTGATTTTCTTTATTACTCATAGCAAGAGCTAACGCCGTATTTCTGGTTTTTTGGTCGTGCATAACGTACTTACTGTGATTTAATAATTTTTACTATTATTTTGGGAATGACAAACCCAGCCATTTAGAAATTTAATCAAAGTGTCATTAATATTTGTCCTCTCGCAGAACAGGGAGATTCCTGATGTGGACAAATTATATACCGCCTTTCCGTAATTTTATAACATCATGACAATTATGACAGTCGCCACCATAACACGGACCAAATGCAAATCAAAGCTTTTTGGGTTTGAAAATTTCGATTTCGCTCGTGTCTCGAAGGGAGAAAAAACATCTCTCTCTTTCTCGGGTGGATATTAGCTGTCATTTGTGTATATATACTTTTGACACTGATAAGTGATTGCATAATATAATGTAATATAATATTAGATGTAATTTTTCACTTTATAAAACGCCGTTGCTGACATTAGTCTCTTCTTCCCCCACAATCCTCCTCAACGCAATCCTACTCTCCCCATCTCCTCTGAAGTTGATTTATGCACATATCTTTCTGGTTTCCGTGGTGAATGTTCCAACTGAAGATTGAACCTTATTACGCTTCTTAGGCTGAAAAAAATACTTAACATTTGCAATCTCCTCAACTGGCGAGGGAGCTTAGCTTGCTTACTGCTTTAGGATATTCAACTATCAAGGTTCCATGACGGCTAGCTCCTTCTGCAATGCTGACTCTGTGTTTTCGGTAAGTTCCTGAATCTGTTAAATACCATTACTGGAGCTAGTCCCCGGAAATTCTGAAATTTAATACCCCCCAATTGTTTGTATGATTCCTCCCTCTTCCTTCTCTCTCTCCTTTTAATCTCATGATTTCCCAAAATCCTGCCCTTCTCTCCACTCTCTCCCGATTAATCCTATTTTTCTCTTCAAGTATTTGATGTTCTCAGCTTTGGTGTTAATGAAGACGTCCTTCAAATCAGATTCATTCATGCACCGTATTATGATTATTTTAAAGAATACTAATACAAATTAATTAATGGGCCCGCCTGACCTCGCCTTGCCTCGCATATCTGAGCTTCTTCCCAACATCACCCAATTAAAAACTAGATAGCATAAGAATGTTGCTAAATGCTAGCCTTCACGAGTTGCAGTAGTTCTTTTTACCGTATAATAACTCGGATAGTTGAGGAAGCTGATCAGTGTTGGTGTCTTGGTGATATCACGACCCTTGCCCCAACGGTAGGATTTTTGATTTCCGTGGCAGTTGTTTGCGTCGCTGTCCAACTGTCATTTTCTTTTTTGGTGGAGCTGCTGCCTCTTTCTTTTAAATTTCTGCCATTTTTGTTTCAGTGATTGTAATCATGATTTGAAGAGGTGGTAGTTAACGATGATGATTTTGCTTTCCTTACTGTAAGTGCGAGCATTATTTTGATCGAGACTGCACATGCTGCTCTTTGATCTTTATAAACATAAATCTTAGTATTATTATTTTGCATGCTGCAAAAGATAACTTATACAATTTTATTTAAATCTAGAGGTCGCAACCACCAAAATGGTTGTGGTTATCTTGGATGCTTCTTCTTCAATTGACATCAATCTCTTTCCATGGGGTCCTTCGTTTGGTGTTGCTTGCCCTTTTGCTTACTCCTTGTTCAGCTGGACAGATCTTACGGCTTAGGAATGTGACGAAGCTTCCTTTTGAGTTAGGAGCTTAGGGCATTATTGACTGTGGATTCCCTTTAGTTTCTTTCTTTTGTTTTCCTATGGCCCCATAATGGGGGTTCTGACCCATTCTTGATTTTTTTTTAAAACTAAGTACTTCCTTATATTTCATTAAAATTCATTTGATTTTTGTCCGAGCATTAGACAATGGAGATTGTTAGACTTTTGGTGTAGAAAATCCTGTAAAAGTGCTATAATCAGTAAATTGGGTAGTATGAGGCAAGTCCTTTCTTACTGTTAACTATTCTTGCCACTCTTAACAAAAATGTGTTTAATTGTTTCTGTAACCGTTTTATTGAGCTTCCTTTTAATATTTTTCATCTTAGCCTGCTCCATTTTCTCCTGTCTTTCTTATTAGAGAATGTTCTTTTGTTGATTCCATCAGAGAGAAGAAGGTGTAGATATTAGAAAGATGATGGAACCGAAAAGGAGCTTCTGCTCTGTGGATCAAAGCAATTATACCTCTATTGCATCCAAAAGACAAAAGGCTGATTTATCCATTTCCACAAAGGTTTCTTGTTTTCCTCTGTCGTGATTTGTTTCCGTGATGCTGAAAGATGTAACACGTTTATGATTCTTATTTCTTGAGGCTTACTTTTATTGTAGTTCCTCTTTTATATAACATCTCTAATTAAGATTATTCTTCTGCTAATAGGAGAGAAAGGAGAAGATTGGGGAACGAATTGTTGCCTTGCAGCAGCTCGTTTCACCATTTGGGAAGGTGTAAACATTTGTTCATGCACATTGCTTGAGAATAGTTACTTCTATTTGTTTTATATCTGGTGGAATTTACAGGAAATTAATCTTAGCCTAAACAGAAAACACGGGAAAAAAAGAAGCTTAATTGATTTGATTGATAGCTTGCTTATTATTGCCTTCAGTGAAGAGCTGAATCCGGTAACTCTTTTCTTTGTAATTCTTACTGCAGTCAGATACAGCTTCTGTCCTTTTAGAGGCAACGCACTACATAAGGTTCCTTCATAAACAAGTTAAGGTTTGGCCACTCTTGCCATATTTTACTTATGATATTGTTAAGAATATTGATTACCCACCTAGTAACTGGCTCATACAGCACTAGTTTGGTGCACATGCTTATGCTAGACCCAAGTGATTAAGTCGTAAATTTACAATATTAACATGAGTTACTTTGATAGCAACTGTCAATGGAATATATCTACGCTCATCATAATCCACCTAAAGCATTGCAGACTTTTCCTGGTCCAGTTTAGACCAAGCCTGTTCTCCAGTAAATATAAAGCGTACTCCCTCCACTCCTTATAACAGGGCACTTTCTAAAAAGATTCTTTGGTATTAATACAAGGCACTTGATCAGAGTGCTAATTATGTTTTTTCAATATTAATTCTATTTAATCTCATTAACTGTGAAAGAGAATGTAATACAAATTTAAAAAATTTTATTTAGATTGGGGTAAAATTGAAAGTTTATTATATTTTCAGGCAAAGTTAATGACTAAACTACTTTTTCGTGGTTTCATGAGATGATTAGAAGTGCTTTATATTGGGACCGGAGAGAATATGTTCCTTGAGATCGTATGATTTATTTATTTGACCTCACTTAATAGGATAAAGTTGTAAGGTTTGTGGTGGTCGTTATTGTTGTGTGCTACAAACTTAGTTTAGCAAGAGAAAGGTGGTCTGTTAACTTATTAAACAGAAATTCATGAAAGTGAACTTAAAATGTGTCGAATTGACATCTTAAATGGCTACTAGAATTCTTACTATTACAGTCTACACAGCTGGCAGCTTTTCATGGTGATGTTTGACAAGGGAAATAGAGAATGATAAATCTCCACGACAAAAGAGAGCTATTACCACCACCACCACCATTATCATTACTAGAGACTAAAAGTAGAAATTTAAACTATCAATATCACAACTATATGCTCGAACACAGGCGTCCATAAAATAAGCTGTGTTGAACATTACCTTGATGTTGTCATGCAGATAAACTTTTCTTGCTGTTATTTCAGGTGCTTAGTGCTCCTTATCTGCAATGCTCTCCTACAACCAAAACGCAGGTGAGAACAAGATGACCACTACCATATGAATGAGTATCGTTAACTTTGTGATTTTTATTCTTGTATGATACGAATATTAAGCCTCGGAAAGGGAAAAAGGATTAATAACTAAAGCGTGGGTGTTATATTTTACTAGATAAGTCAAACAAAAGATGAAACTTCATAAAATTTTATGTTATACATATTTATGTAGGTATAGATAAGCCTAGACACTAAACACCCAACACTTTGTATGTCCAAATTATTGGGCAAGGTTTTGTTTGTGTTCTTGTCTACTAGAATAATCACCTTGCACCAACAGTGATTGAATCGAATAGAAAGGATTTGATTTTTTATTTTTTTTTAAACAAGATTAAGAATTCTTTTCTTTTTTCGCCAACAAATATGATCAAGAATTCGAATGTTATGAATAGAATAAATTACGTTAAATTCCAATAGGATAATTGTATTAAACACTGCCGCCTTGCAAATGCAAGTAGATTGTTGGTCCCAAAACAACAACAACAACAACAACAACAAGCCTTTATCCCACTAGGTGGGGTCGGCTACATGGATTGCAAGACGCCATTGTGCTCTATCATTTATTAAGCTTTTAGAAATATTATTAATTAAGAGATCACGTTCAACAACTTCCAAGAGTGTTCTCTTAGGCCTTCCTCTACCTCTCTTAATCGGACTCAAAGTTATATGTTCCACTCTTCTCACTGGTGCCTCCCTTGGTCTTCTTTGTACATGCCCAAATCATCTCAACCGATTTTCTACCATTTTTTCCTCAATAGGTGCCACCCTCACTTTTTCACGTATGTGCTCATTTCGAATTTTATCTTTACGTGTATGTCCGCACATCCATCGTAACATTCTCATCTCTGCTACTCCAACTTTATGCTCTTGCTGTCCCGTTAGAGCCCAGCATTCACTACTATATAACATTGCCGGTCTGATAGCAGTACGATAAAACTTTCCTTTAAGTTTATTAGGCACCTTACGGTCACAAATAACTCCTTTAGCTTTTCTCCAATTAAACCACCCAGCTTGAATTCTATGTGAAATATCTCCACTGATTTCGCCATCATTTTGGATAATGGCTCCCAAATATCTAAACTTTTCCACTTGAGGTATAATTTGATCTCCCAATTTTACTTCCAAATTATTTTCGAATAGTCCTTTATCAAATTTACAATATAAATATTCCGTCTTACTTCTACTCAGACGAAAACCTTTCGACTCCAATGTCCTCCTCCATAACTCAAGTTTGCAATTAACCTCTTCTCTTGTCTCTGCTATAAGAACTATATCATCCGCGAAGAGCATACATTTCGGGATTTCCTCTTGAATATGTTCCGTCAAAACATTTAAAATCAAGTTGAACAAATAAGGACTCAGAGATGATCCCTGATGTAGCCCAATCTTTATAGGAAAATCCTTTGTTTGACCACTAGGCGTTCTTATACTAGTTTTTACCCCCTCATACATATCTTGTATGGCTTTAATATAAGCAATCCGTACTCCCTTTTTTTCCAACGCTTTCCAAAGCACTTCTCTTGGTATACGGTCATAAGCTTTTTTCAAATCAATAAAAACCATGTGTAGATCTTTATCTTTACAACGATACTTTTCCATTAATCCCCTTAGTAGATAAATCGCCTCTGTAGTTGATCTACCTGGCATAAAACCAAATTGATTCTCAGAAATACTTGTCTCCAATCTCAACCTATGCTCAATTACTTTCTCCCACAATTTCATTGTGTGGCTCATGAGTTTAATCCCTCTATAGTTAGTACAATTCTGAATATCTCCTTTATTTTTATAAATAGGAATTAATGTACTTCTCCTCCACTCATCAGGCATTTTCTTGGACCGTAAAATCACATTAAATAACTTAGTTAACCATCTCACCCCTTCTTCACCTAAACATTTCCACGCTTCGATAGATATACAATCAGGTCCGTTAGCTCTACCATTTGCCATTTTCTTAAGAGCTTCCTTTACCTCCTTATCACGTATGTTTCGATAGAATGACAAATTTTGTTCTCCTTCACCAATTACTAAATCCTCCAAGTTACTAGATGAATCCTCTCCATCATTGAAAAGTTTAGAAAAATAAGTCTCCCATCTATTTTTAATTTCATCATCTGTAACTAAAATTCTTCCCTCTTCATCCTTAATACACCTTACCTGTTCTAGATCTCTTGATTTTCTTTCCCTACTCTTGGCAATCTTATAAATATTTTGCTCTCCTTCCTTCGTCTCAAGGTTCTTATAAAATTCTTCAAAAGCTTTAGAACGAGCTTCACCCACAGCTCTCTTAGTTTCCTTCTTAGCCATACGGTACCTCTCCCAATTTTCCTCATTGTTACACAAATGTATGGCTTTAAAACAGTTCTTCTTATACTTGATTTTGTCCTGTACACTATTATTCCACCACCAAGACTCCTTATCTCTCGGACCAGGACCTTTCGATTCTCCCAAAACTACTTTTGCAACCTCCCGTATCTTTTTAGCCATATCCTCCCATATGATGTTAGCACTTCCCTGAGAATCCCAAATTCCTTTATCCAAAAGATTTCGCTTGAAAATATCTTGCTTCTCACCTTTTAATTGCCACCACCTAATCCTTGGTGTTACTACTTGTCGACGTTTTTGGATTTTACTCATAATACACACATCAAGGACTAGGACCCTATGTTGTGTCGTTACAGCATCTCCAGGGATCACCTTACAATTTTTACAAAGTTTTCTATCTGTGTTCCTAACCAAAAGAAAATCAATCTGCGACCTTGAGGCTCCACTTTTGTAGGTGATGAGATGCTCATCTCTCTTCTTGAAACAAGTATTGGCAATCTTAAAATCATACGCCAATGAGAAATCAAGAAGAGTTTGCCCTTCATTGTTTAGCTCTCCAAAACCAAAACCACCATGCACCCTCGCATACTGACCAGCTTCCCTCCCGACATGCCCATTAAAGTCTCCTCCAATAAAAATCTTTTCACTCTGTGGTATGTGTCGAATCAACCCCTCCAGATCCTCCCAAAATAATTCCTTAAGACTGGCTTCTGTCCCGACTTGCGGCGCATAAGCGCTAACAATATTAACAGTCTCACGTCCAATTATCATTTTTAAAGAAATAATTCTGTCTCCAATTCTGCTAACTTCTACAACGTTCTTCTTCCACTCCTTATCTATAATGATGCCTACTCCATTGCGTGCACTTACTTTTCCTGTATACCAAAGTTTGAAACCTTGAATATCCTTAGCTTCTTCTCCACGCCATTTTGTTTCTTGCAAGCAAAGGATATTGATTTTCCTTTGAATCATAACCCCTACAACCTCTACAGATTTACAATTTAATGTCCCAACATTCCAAATACCAAATCTAATTTTGCTCTTATGGACTAACTTCTTTAGCCGCGTGCGTCCAGAATGACGCGGTAGCCCTTGCTCATTTAACACTACATCCGGGCGCCGATGCAGCGGCTCTAACTCACTTATCACTGTACTCGAGCCATACAGCGCGTTACTTACGGGCAACGACCTAGCATTAACATTATAACGTCTATTGTCCATGTTCATGATAGATTCAACAAATTTTTACATTGGCTGTTGATGGCCTAACACAACCCTCCTCCTTTACCCGGGCTTGGGACCGGCTATAAACATAGGCGGAGTTTGTTGGTCCCAAAACAAAACAAAAAAAATTAAATGCAAGTAGACTTGAATATTTTTTTGTGGTTAAAAAATTGGAAGAAAAATAACGAGGATAAAAAGGTCAAAGCCCAAGACAAGTATTTGTCTAGAAATTAATGAGTTAATTTTTATGTAATGTATTGATAAGCAATACCCATAAAAGCAAGGCGACTTTGTTTACCCGTTTTTTTTTTTTTAAAGCACATATGGATTATATTTAACACGGTTTCCCTACATATGTTGATGGTATGCTATAAGGTGCATGGATATATTGATCATGTTTGTGGTGCAGGATATAGGGATTGGGGCGTACAGCCTGAGGAGTAGAGGATTATGTCTGGTACCAGTGTCGTATACGATTGGAGTTGCTCAGAGTAATGGTGCGGATATATGGGCCCCCACCAAAAGCACACCGTCACAATTTGCCTAGCCTATTCTATCCCAATCTCGCAGTTTCAATTGTGACCCAATTTGTTAGGCGAGACTGAGAATTGAGAAGTTGCTCAGCCTCGAGGGTTAACTATCCTTGTATTAACCGGACAAGAAATGTTGTTCTGCTGTGCCGTAATGGCGATTTGTAGCTCAAGCCTCGAAAGTATCCGCGCATCCTCCCCAACATCCACATGGTAGTCTAGCTGTCGCATTGAAAACCTGCTCCAAAATGCGACCCCTCGCCATTAACATTTTAAAGTGGCGATGCCCAAGCTATCAAGCATGGCATGCTATGTGTATTCCTATACTGATTATAAGGTAACCTGTATATTTACGTGAGCTAGTTCTTAGATTTCGGTGCTCCCAATTGAAACGAAATTTATAATGATTTGGACCATGTGTGACTTAGAACACTATAGGTTTATGCTATTTTATGCTCCTATAATCGGCCAACTGCGATTATCCATTCAGTCTGGCATTTGAATAATGAAAATTAACGAATGAAACCGTGATTAAGCATGGACCACGTTCACAATTTTCAGATCATTGTCTCATTCGATGGAAGGAGGCGGCCAATGGCCGGATGCCTTGACCACGGTGAAAGGCCATTACAATTGATGGTAAGCGCCAATTGTGCATCGAGAATTTTTTTTTTTTTTTTGTTGGGGGGGGGGTTGTGAGGGGAGTGGTGTTCCAAAATTGTTCACCAACATCACCCTGATAAATATTTTCCAATACGGCTGAGAAACCTTAAATATGGGGGAAATGATATCTCATGGCAGTCAACTGTCACGAAACTCAAGGTCTCTACAATCGACACTAGTGATTTAGGTCACTAGTAGCAACGTCTAATCGACTTGTCTAGAGTTGGACCTTCGTATACTAACCCTCATTTTTGGTTGAATGAAGATAAAGAATGAGGCTTCGTAGAGAATGGATTCAAGCTTTTCAAACAGCTGCCAACGGCTTAACCTTCTCGCGTAGGAACTGCATTATGTGCTCCCGTTTCCAATTATCGATTCTGGAGCAGGCGAAAGAAACTCATCACATCAGCAAAAAAATTAAGATAAAATCTACTTCTTTACCAAAAGAAATTCCCAGGTCCTAATGCACAACAAAAGCATGGATACCACATAGCCTCTTGTTTCCAAGAGAAAAATGCTCAAATCTGACCGGAGCATGGGATATTCTTTTGCTGCTACGTGAGTCAATGGTTTTCAATGAACATTTTTATAGATTATTCTCAAAATGCTCGACCTACTCTCATGGACTCCATAACAGATTACAAAACCTTTGTCAGTTAGACATTAATTTTTTTTTTTAGATGATGTTTTAACAGAATGATGTCAATGAACAACCAATAGAAAAGCTCAAATAATGATATTCTCACAAAGTAGCCTTTTTTATCTATTGTCATGAGTGCTCACCTGATCGTTTCCTTATGTTGACCAGCATCATCCAGCATGATCAACTTTGGTGGGGAATTGAAAACATACTGAACTTTAACTGATGGGAACTGGTCCTTTTCCTCTTCAATGAAGCCCACAATCTCCGGATAGAAAACAAGTTTCCTCATGCAGACTTCTAGAAAAGCTCCTGAGTACCTTATCTATAAATTTGTTACAAGCATTTAAATTGAAGGAACAATAAATCGAGGAATGTTGAGATCAAAATTAAAGTAAACCCAATAATTGTATAAACACATGGAAATCCAGTTATTGCCTTATTGGTAACCAACATTTAACATCCGGCCCAACAAAATTGAGTTTATGACAATACTATCTAATTTTACCTTCACTCCTGAACATAAATTTCACTCAACTCAGCATTCCATTTCCAATAGAAATTCTTTTCTTTCACAGTAAAAGATTTATTCAACAAAGCATGGAAAGTAGGAGTGAAATAGAATCATCCTTCACCTTGTATGGAAACTAGTAAATTGCAAAATAAATTTCCAACCGAATATTCCTTCCAGTTTTATTTACAAGACAACTTCTACAAATAATTTTTAAATCAAAACATAAAACATCTTTTAATAATTAAACTATTTTTTTAATTTTATTTTTTCTTGATTCGCGTGAAAATATTGAATGTAATTGTATTATTATTTAAAGTCAAAAATAAAAATAAAAAAACACATCTTACTTTTATATAATATTAAAAAAACTAACTTCTGTGTGAAAGGTTGAAAGTGTCCTGTAATTGTCTAGACTGGCATGCACTTATAACTGCAAAAGCGAGACTAAAATCCTCACACAAAGTACCCGATATTGAGGCACATTTAGCGTGAAGAGGTAAATCAGAAATCCTGTACACGAACCTTGCTCATGGCATCATTGGAATCTTCTGTGCAACACTTCACACAATCCGATATCAACTCTGCAGCCAAAGTTTATACGATATTTAACTTGACTTAATAAATAGATGCATGTTAAAATAAGCAAACAGCATCCATAAACAAGGAAAAGGACGGAATCTCGATGCTACAAGCTGTGTTTTAAGTGTAAGAACATCACTTTCCCCAAAGAAAAAGGTGCTCTCCCGTCCGATGACCAAGTTCTTGTCGATGGACAAGTTCCATACATCAGATTAGGGTTGAATTAAGAAGCCGAACATTTTATTCCAGACCTAATATTATTTGGAAAAGGATATCGTTTTCAGAATCTGAAAAAAATGTAAAGGAGAGGACCTAGAGAAAAAAATGTCAACGAAACAAGCAACGAAACTCATGGATCTGTTGAGAAAGAATAAAGCAGAATCAAGAGACTTGGAGAGAAAAAGGATATTGGCGATCGACCCTTGTCCTTAACATATTCGGCGAAAGTATTGCAGTCAGAGCACAAAGCAAGTCCAGTAAAGCCCAGATTCTCACATTCTCTCGAGCTCAGTTGCTCCATTGCACTGCTCAAAGGCACTGTAGCCAACATCACAACCGTAGCAATCCCATAGATCAACGCCTTCATCTTCATCTTCTTTTCTGGCCTCCGAGTCCCCTCCCTAGGTCGTCAAGTCTACTCCGATTTAGCAAAATTACATTTTTAACTTTTAATTACTCTTCTATATAGGCCGGCCCATTAAACTTTCTGGGCTTTTCCTGTCCTTTTGTTCTTAGTCCATGTTCAATTTCTTTTTTTCTCTTGTAAAATCCCAGTACAAAATTTCCTCGTAAGGCTTTGAAATTTAACGCCTTGGTAATTACACTTCAATTAAATTGTCCAGGCAAATCACGGCCAAAAATTATTTACGCTCAGGTGAATAGGTAAATTTAATTAAAAATGAAAAATTATTATTGAATAATGTTAACAAGAATATAATAGCTACTATATATTTAGATCTTCGAATGAGAAGATATTATAAATATCAATTTCAGGGGCCAAAATCATAAATAGTTTGTTATCTGACAAAATGGTATCAAGTGACAAAGGTAAAAAGACTTTTTTCCTTTTTGTTGTTTTGTTTAACGTTTACATTTAATAGTAGCTTTCATATTCATTGTTATTAAGTTTGGATAATGAAATTGGATAAAATGTAATTTTGGGTGATTAGATGGCCTTATGCAATGAGCCGCGTGGAGTTGAGTTGACTCCTTCTAATTAAATCGAAGTTGAGTTCCCCACGAAGAGGAGGTTCAGTTGGTTGCCTTCTCATTAAAATGGAGTTGAGCAAGACTGCTCCTAGTCAAAAGAAAATCGAATATGCCAAATCTATTTTAAATAAAACTGGTGATCAATTTGCATGAGTTTGAATGTCTGTCTGCACATATTCTGGAGTGCAATATTATTGCTAAAATTTTATCTCATTTTTAGTAAATGCTCATGTGAAATTCTAGGATCTGGTAAGGAGAAAGCAACCTAAAAATTAAGCATATATTTTGGATAGACATGGGAACGTAACCAGAACTCGATGGTTTTTTTTTCTTTTTTTTTTTGGGGGGGGGGGGATTGAAAATAAAATGATGAATTTTGGTGGGGTGGGGTGAGGATTCAAGTTAGACTATTTTACAAATGCAAAAAGGGTAATATTTTACCAAAGGCTATATGATTCCTAGGGGCCAAGAACCCCTCCTTAGCCACTCTACTTTCGTCACTGGATAAGGTATACATATTGGAATTATACATTTTGTAAAAATTACATATAGATGGTTTAGCTGGTCATGAGATGAAATAAGAACAATTACAAATAAGTCCAAGATTAATTAAAGGCCTAATAAGAAATTAATTATAACAACTAAATTAAGTTGTGATACCTGTAACATCTTAGATTTCAAATTTTGAAATTTTAAGTGTTTAAGAAGGATAAATTTGTTAAGATAAGAGAATTATGAATTAATAATGTTTTTGGATGACTAATTTAATTTTTGAATTGTTAGACAGCCTTAGAAGAAGGTTAGATTAGAGTTTGAGAGAACCATAACATAGAGAGACAAACATGCCTGAGTCTCTCTATGCCATTTGCCACGGTAGATACACAAAATTTTGTTTGTATTAGATACGTGTTTGCGTCTGAAGTAGAAGAGAGAAAAGAGAGAAAATGCAGTAGGGCAATGGGACTGAAGCTTGGGGTTGCTAGGTGTAACATCCTGATTTTAAAAAAAATAATAATAATAAAAATTTATATTATTTGAGATTATTCAGAAATAATAATATGGTTAGAAATTTAATTATGAATTAAAAACTTAAGTTTAAAATTATATAAAAAATATTTTGTTAAGATATAATTTTAAGATTTAAAATAAAAAAATTTATGTGTGAGTGAGTTAAAAAAAAGTAAAAAAAAAAGGTTGAAGTAAAAAAAAAAAGAGAGAGGCACTGTAGAAGTCCCATATCGATTAGATGTGGGAAGGTGAGGTGCCTCCTCACATATAAAAGGAGGAGGCACAGGCGAGGAGGAGCAGAAGAAGGAAGAAAAGGAAAAGTTTATGTAATTTGTGAAAATTACAACTAAGGATCCAAGATGTAATTTGTGAAAATTATAAGTAATGGCCCAAAGGTTTGAATAATTAAATTTAAACCTATAGTTTTTTTAATATAATTTTGGGACCCACAATCCTATTTTTATATTATTTTTCTCTCTTCCTCTCACATTGCTCGGCGTTTTCTCACAAGGGGGATTATCTTCTTTTTCTTTAGGTATGTTCTAACTTTCCTGTTTAAATTAGCATTTAAAAATTTATTTAATTATAAAATTAATTTTATAGTTATTTTCTAAATAATATTAGCTTTCTAGTGATATGATTATTTTGTAGGATAGAGTAAATATTCTGATTAGGATTTTTCTATAAGATAGTTAATCTGATGATATGATGGATTAAAAATATAGGTTAAAACTCTTAGGGATATAATAAATATTATAGAATATTTTCTTGAGGTTGAAACTCATGTTTAAGAATTTTTGAGTTAAAATTTAGATCTATACGGTTGAATTTATGTGGAATCTGAGATGTAGGGATGAACCTCTGATTATTAAATATTTATTTAAGTATGAATAGGTATTTTTAAGGTTATAGAAAGGTGATTTGAGGCTTAAATATGATTTATTAAGGTATGAAAATTTTAGAAAAGAATTTGGGAAGTTAAATGAGGCATAAATCTTAAATTAGTGTTAATATGGATTATAGATCTAAGACTTTCTAACTCTTTAAATTAGAGCTATTTATTTTAATATAAAATTAATATATAATATTATGAAATAAATATGTAGATTGTGTTAACAAAGATAATGGTGAAAGAGGAGTTGTGAAGGGGAACTTGTTATTCAAGATACAAGGTAACCATTATTAATGTGTTGTGATGAGTGCGTTTGTGAATGGTTATGTGTTATTTTGTTGTTTGGAAAAATTATGAATTATTAAAAATAAATATTGTTATATACTTGTTTGAATTTATTGCCAAGTGGGTCAAAAATTTATTTTTGTTTATCATGATGAGATATTATTGTTTGGATATATTCTTATTTGGATATTTGAATGATGCATGACTTGTCAAGGTATTTTAATATATGGTGTTAATGGAAATTTTTGTTCGGTTAATTATTACCACGTGGTAAGTCCTCATTGAACCCAATGAATGGCGTGTCGCTTGGTCCAACTCACCTTTGGTCGGGTGATTTAACGTTCGAGCATGGCGAAAGAAGGATATAAGGTGCAGTCATGCAAATTAAATACTTGTTCGGTTTGTTTGAAAATATTATTCGGTTAAATGTTTTGTGTGCCTACTTAGCAATCGCATGATTAGTTACAACCGCATGTATTATTACATATTAATTTTTGGTTACTGGGACATTTAAGTCTCATTCCCCGTGGTTAACATTTTTACAGGAGCGAGTCCGGCCGAGAAAGCACCAGAGGCATAATTTTGGTGTATGAGACACCATCTTTTACGTTGCCTCTTATTTTAGATTATACAATATATATTGTGTCAACTTAGTACATATCTTCTTTGTGAAGCATGTAAACTCTAATTTTTTTTATTAAAAGTATTTATATGACCAAGAGGATTATGTCTGTCCCTCTTGATTTATGATCTAATTTGAATATCATGCCATGAAAATTATGTCTGTCTCTCATGGTTTTAATTGCCTTTTTGGATATTTTAAGACTTATGTTATGTCTTGGATGTATCATGGTAAGAAAATTTTCTATCATGATAATAGTTTTAATAATTTGTGAAAAATTAGTTTGTATTTTTGAGAGTGTTACACTAGGGCTTCATTCTTGGATGGTTTTGGAGGCATTGAGAGTTGGGAATCCACTTTGGTAAGCTTCTTATACCTCTCCCTCTCCCTCTATGTAAAGTTTTTATTGTTTTTGGTGTGTTTGAGACTTGATTTTATATTTTCTTAAGTTTTGACTGAACCTATTAGTTTAATTAAGGTCTTGGAGAGTTAAATCAAGCTTCCAAACCTAGATTTATGGATTTTGTAGTAATTTAAATTTTTTAGTTAGAGTTTGGATGGCCATAAGTAAAATTTAGGAGTTTTGAAATAATGTAGGTAAATGATTGGTGTTATTAGTGTGTTTGGATATTAAATAGGATTAATGGAATGTATTGAAAGTGTTGATGGTATTATAGCCCAAAATTAGACTAAAAAGGAGATTAATTAGAGTGAGAATTGATGATTAAATATTTAATTTTGTAAATTAAATATTGATCGTGCCCCATTATGCGAGTGGACACTGGCGGAGTTGGTAATTGACCACAGTAACCCTTTTTGTGATAAAAGGATTGATGTAATTGAATAATCTAAACTTATTATTTGCGTGTTTGAATGGTTGTATGATGTTGTAAAAATTTATTCAACTATTTTGAAATTGGAATACTATTAGTGAAAATGATTATAAATTTAGAAACTCTATGTGAAGTGAAATGTATATTTGCAAATGTGATTTTTAAAAGTTTTATACTCAATCCTATGTATAGGTATATGTATATGTGAAAGTGTATGATTCAATATGAAAATGATTGTTTAAAAATAAATTATATGTGTGGCTATGTATTAATTGTTGAGCATAATGTTTGGTATAATTATTGTGAGAAGGTGTGAGTTCATCCTAATGTTGTTTGCGAATATTGTTTGAAAATTTATATAGTGCACTAGCACTGTGGAGGTCTCAACGCACAATTTTATTATTGTTTGAAAGTCCTAGTATTATTTAAGATAAATTGGACATATGACACTCCAAGTATTTGTGAAAAGGGAAAATCTATGGTTTATAGTGGGTGAAGGCAACTTTGGCTGGGGCTGCCTCTCATGATTGGTGAGCTTAAGCCAATCTAGTTATATGGATTTGATTTTATTGAATTGTCAGTCTACAGATTCAGTCTGAGAAAATAAGGAGGATAAAAGGCAGTGTGTTGATCACGTATATCATTATTGTACAGCCATGTGTGTGTATGTAAACTTGACAAATATAGTATATGTTTAAATGCCACTTTACATACTTACTAGCTGTTCTCACACATGAGTGATTTGTTCAAATAATTTGATTATTGAGTCCTTGACTCACTCGTGATTATA